TTTCCAGCGAGGGGATGCATATTCTATTTATAAATGACCTTGAATCTCGATACGTATCGATGCTCTGAACACGTTATCCGCATCGCTCGATAATCATTTACGCTTGGCGATCAAAAAACGGATAAAATTGAAGCATACGATGCAACGGGGCGGGATCTCTCGTCATCCATATATCGATAAAACAATGTAATTAGCATTAAAGCAAAACACATTTCACATCGGTCATTCGTTGAAACCCGTAAAGACTAATCTGGCAATAAAATCGAAATGGATGTTACCATTAATAACGAAATAATCAAGATAATATTATATATAAAAACATTAATGAAAATCGATTTATAATATTATTACAAATATATTTCGAATAAGTTAATCAAGTGGCAATGTTCGTGGATAAACAAATGATCAAATTTAATCACATACACGTTAAAATAATATTCATTAAATTAAACGAACGTTCTATCAAACGTCAGAAAAAAAAACGTATTTGTATATATTTACGAGAAATCTCGGGTAGAAATTTAGTCAGTTTAAAGTATTTTAAGGTCCACTACTTCCTGTCCCATAACGTCACCGCGTCTTGTCATCAACAGACGACTCATTCTGCTACGAGCATGGAATAATACGTGAGTATTACCATATGTGTGCAGAGAGAAGTAGTTGGAAACGCATAGTCGTTTCGGTTAGATAGAGAGACACTGGAAACAAGGGTGGAAAAAGGGGTTAGGAGGGCGGTAAGAGGGGAGAGGGGAAAGGAGGGAAATGAAGTGGGGATGAAGGATACATCGTCGGAAGACGGAAATCTACGAAAACGAACCGAGGTGCGGAATAGCGATAGAAATATGTGGGCTGGGACGGATGAGAAGAGAAAGTCGAGATAGGGAAGAAGGAATAAGGAGAGGGATGAAACTGAGGAGAGAGAGAGAGAGAGAGAAAGAGATAGAATGATCTAGGACCGAAACTTGGATGTAATTACTCCCGTCTACCGTGTAAACTCTCGTCTTGTCATAGCTATCTCTACCCTGCCGAGTTCAGCCGCGCCAACGGGCTCGAAATTACTCCTGCTTCCTTCTGCCGGCTAATCAGCCACAGGGCTTCTACGATAAAACAAGAATCCTGTTAACGGGTAAGGGGTAACGTTGCTCCTATCGTGCAAGGTCTTGGACTTGATACCCTCTCTCTCTCTGTATATACTTATATAAGAAAAATATTAATTACCAAAAATCATTGTATGATAATTTATAGGAAGAAAAATTGATCAATCAATTTTGCGATAATTTCTTTTATTTATTTTTTTTTTACTAGAACAGTAAAGCAGTAATATAATATAACGGTATCTTGATAAGCCTCAGATGTTACTACAGAATTCCTTCAATTCGTTTTTATAACTTTTCTGCATATTTTATTTCGTAGATTTTTCAAAAAGAATACTACTACTGACACATTCGGTTGCGGGACGAGGAAAGATGATTGCACCTACGTACCATCGATCAAGTCATGCGGCTAACGCAGGTGTATAAAGCAGAAGTATATAAGCGAGAGAATACCCGTGTTGATCGATGAGTCAGCGTACAGGTAAGAGAGAGAGAGAGAGAGAAAGAGAGAATGAGAGATAGAGAAAACGTACGGAGGAAAGGCAAAGGGAGAATATATAAGAGAAATAGAGATAGAGATACATAGGTTAAGGGATAGAAAGAGAGAGAAGGAGTGAAGGGTGCAGAGACACGCCCGAAACACATCTATATTTTAACGGGAAGCTCGACGGTGCGTTAAAACGATCCGTCAACGCGACTACCCCCGCAACCCCCGTCGCACCCTCACCACCTTTTCCCCCGCGTGAGTATTAATTACAAAACAATGGACACCGTGGACGACGATCCATGGCGGAATGCGCGCGAAGCGTAATCGACGAAAAGGGCCGTTCCGTACTCTGTAGGATTAACTCGGTAGCACGCGTGCTCAAGCACACCCTACATTTCATGATAACCCTTTTATGGATTTTCACGATTTTCTTCTTCTTTTTTTTTTGTTTTTCAATGGATTCGTCTTGTTTTTTTTTCGTCGGGATTAAGTATAATGGAACGGACGTTTACATAAACAAAACACAATCGTGATTTTATTTCGTTCGACAGAGTAGGGGGACAAAATATATTAACAACTAGAATGTAATCGATGCGTTCTATATCGATATACAGATATTATAGAAATGAGTTATTATTTAATGGTCTATCTTTTTTTTTTTAATACAGGTACGTGTTGCAACGGTCGTTAAAGAAAATCGTGCAGCGAAAGGTTATTTTTTTTCTTTTTTTTTTGTACCCCTGGCATAGGAAAATTCCGTGGTATTGGTGGTAGAGGATTATCGGTATATATCACTGGCTCGTACTAAACCCCAATTTAGCGAGAGACGATGGCAAACAATTAAAACGAGTGCTACGTATGTATACACAAACTTGTATATTTGTGTGTGTGTCTATATGTGTACGTGCACGTATTCGTTTGTGTGCATACCAGCTATAGGTATAGAAAATGAACGATGAAGCGAGCATCTGCGGAATGGCCTTTGGAGTATCACCACACCGCGGAACTAATAAACATCCAGTGCCGATAAATGCGAATTACGACATCTGGTTAACATTCCTCGAGCGATTTACCTAACCTGCGGTTATGTTCTTCCTTCGTCAATCTGTTCTGCTGGCACAGGATCAAGATGCTTTTGTGGACCGAAGTGCAAGTTGTCGCACTTTAGGCACCTCAGTGTTCTATAAAACGGTTCGTGAGCTGAGCAAACTGTAACGTAGTAACTCTTCAAGATATATTAGCATGAGATACTAAAGATATTTTCAACTCCAATGATCTATGCACTTTTCCACTCTATATACAGGAGGATTCCGAAAGTTTTAGAGCAGTCGTGGAATTTGTCAAATGTCATCATCCCTCTACGTAAAATTAGAAGAGGATATTCTTGTTTTCAACGAATTTTTTTTGAAAAAGTAAATATAACTCTCGGTTAAAAATTTTATTCGAACGTTTTTTACGTTTCATTTTTTGTTTTGTTTTTTTTTTAGATATTTCATCAACTTTTGAAACACTCTGTAAGTATAATATAGCGACATCGTTTTATCAATGAACGAACTTAAAACTCTATCTATCTCTTACTAGTATTTTAAGTTAAAAGTATTAAAAAAGCATTGAATCATAAAGATTGGATGGTAAAGTTAAAAGGATGGGACGTTATAAATAGTCAATTTTTGCTTGAAAAGAGGTAAAATATATGAAGAAAGAGGTTTATTGGTCCACAAGATGAAGTGTGTGTGAGAAAGAGGGAGAGAGAGAGAGAGAGAGAGAGAGAGAGAGAGAAAAAGAGAGAGTTCGTTAAATCGATCAAAAGGATGATTTTCGCGAGAGATGATAAAAGCGATGGATAGTTATAGTCTCATATATAACCGAACACGATTAACGTTGGATTAAGTCAAACGTCATTTCCATACTTTATGCTTTCCCAGACGAACGAGGAAAAGGCCCATCCGATTGGAGAATAGGTTCGTTCAAAGAAAACGCTTTAGTTAGGAAAAGTGAAGAGAAATGAAATGAAAATGAGTGGTTAAGTGTAATAATAGATCTAGAACATTCGTTTTACAAGCACAAAAATATTTAACTTGGTCCCTTTGTCTCCATTTACCACCCGACGTTTAATTCCGACCAGTTTTTCTGTCTTTTTTAAATTATTATTATTATTATTCCATAGGTTTCGTTTACAAATCCTAAATATTCGTATTAATGAACAACTAATTATTCGTGCATTTTTGCTTGAACGATGCTTTTCGTGTCGAACAATATTTGTCCTGGTTAATAGTACGATTTTAAACAATAGACATTGTCGTAAGCTTCTATAAACAATTATGAATAGGATATAAAACATTTCGATCAATTGTAATATGAGTTAACTTACATTCGTAAACTCTTAGTGTGATATATATTTCCTCTTCATTTCGTTTATATAAATATTTAATAAAAAAAAAACAAAAAGAAAAAAAAACCATCAAAAAATCAATCGTACAATTTAACTGATTTTTGACTGTACTTCGGTAGCTACTGAAACTCATTAGGTTTGCTTCAAGATGAACTAACATTTTCATCAGTTACGATTTCATCAACATCCCAAACTCACAAGTCAAGAACGAACTTGGTAAGTTCTTCTCTCGTCTTATCTCCATCTAAATAGGAATCATCAGGTAGACGTACCGGACAAAACTAAATGAAGAAATAATAAAAAAAAAAAGAGAAAAAGGAAAGTAAAAAGAAAAAAAAACGATCAACAGGCTTGAACGGATAAAAAAAAAAGGAAAGAAAAACTGAAAAAAAAAAGAAAAAATCTAAAAAAGGGGGTGATTAAATTGTGAGTAGGAAAAGGTCGAAAGTTCACGTGACGAGTAAACGAAACGTTGGTACGTCGAGCGTTCGAGGAGAAAGAGAAATTCGTAGGAATCGGATTGGCTACGAACGAGAACGAGAGATATCCTTCTCTGGACTCACGTAGTGCGGTCATTTATTTCCCTAGGGTAAGCCGAATACGTATAGTGTGCGCTCTTAACGAGATTATTGTCGCCTCGACGTGGACTCTACGAGCTAGCCGTCGATATGCCAATCACGAATTCAACCTATGTACTGGTTTACTCTCTCTCTCTCTCTCTCATACACACATACATACACGCACTCGCGTGTTATCTATTTCTCTCTCTTGCACTCTTTATCTATCCATCTATGTATCTTCTTTTTTTTTTTTATTTCCATTGGTGAATGAACGAGTTTTCGGTATACGAGGAAAAAGCGCTAAACTTTCTTAATTCTTTTTTCTGTTTTTCTTTTTTTATTTTGCTTTCGTTTTTTTTCCCCTCTTAAGAAACATCTCTCTCTGTCTCTCGTGAGGATCTTCTTGAAGAGACTGGCAAGAAAGTCCCCATCAGAGAAATAGAGATAAAGAAAATCGTGCTACGCACCGGACAGAGGCAACATTAAGGCCAATTGTGAGTGGCCCCAACGTGAGAAACGGGGCCCGCTCGCGCCTTCGTGTCCATGCGAGAGATTTCAATTACGCCTCGTTATGCCGACAGATGGGAATAATGGTCCTTCTAACATTGCCGACACTCGGTTCTCGTTTCGTAGAAGAAAACGCCTACGATAACAGAGAGAGAAGGAGAAGGAGAATAAAGAAGAAGAAGAATTTATCTTAACAAGAGCTGGTATATATGTTGATACAAATAATATGATTTAAATAATTGAGACTAAATATATCTGATAACATGCAATAAAATAAATAGTATAGTTCGATTGGTCAGGATTTAATTAAATTCAATCAAAAAATATACGTTCCATTTCTTATACATAAATTTGACTAAAATTAGATAAGTTTCGTAAGATTTTATCATTACCGTTGCCTAATATATAAGTTTCATTTCAAAATATGAAATATTACTTCCGAATAAAACGGTAAATATTTTCAGATCTTACCGGTAGTATCCATAAACTCGACGACGAGTTTAATTTTATTAATTCAACTTATATTCGGAGAGAAGTTTTCGAGATTAAATCGCGAGTTTCTATTAGCAAGTTGAACCATAGAGTAGAAGAGGCCAGAAGAAAAAAAAGAAAAAGAAAAATAAATAAAAGAAATGAAGAAAAAAAGTGAAAAAAGAGAAAGAAAGAAAAAAAAAACAAAAAAAAGAGAATCCCTGTTATAATGTACCTTCGATGCGGACGAAATCGAAAAATAGGAGTTTGTTCGGGAGGCGTTCGTCGTCCTCGGAGCGTGCAACGAAATATAAATCGCAAACAGAATGGGGGGAGCTACAGGTTGAAGCGTCCATAGTTGAAAACGGGAGACGAAACGAGAAGAAGGAGGCACGATGAAGGTAGGAATGAAAATAAACTTGGCTTCCTCGTTGCGTTATCACTATAACTCTGCTTTCGGGAAAAGGCTTCTGCTTTTTCTTTTCCACCATACCCCTCCTCCTTCTTCTTTCCCAATCTTTTTTTTCTTTCTTCCTTTTACTCTTTTACTTTTTTTTTTCTTTCTTTCTCCCCCTTCATCTACCACGTCTTTTTTACCCCTCACCTTTCTACCAACCAACCAACCAACCTACGTGCTTTATACCGCGAACGTAAAAATTTACCGTCTTCCCATCCAGCACCCTCCAACTTTAACTCAGAATTTAGCGATTTCTGGGAGGAAAGAGAAAATGAAATGGAAGTTTCTTCTTTCGAATGATTGTGATATATTGCGCCAGATATAAAGAGGATTTCACTAGATGGCGGTTTAAATGTTCATTTGCAAATGTGTTTGCGTATAGGTTGCTTCGAGTATATAGGGTTTATTTTTAAAATCAAAGCTTTCGATTTAGGATGTATTTTTTTTCCTTTTTCACGGTTTGGTATACAACTTTGTGTTTGTTTTATTATTTAATATATTGATATTAGCAAATTATTTATTTCCCTACGAGAATAACGATATATTTTAATGTAAATCTATTTGAATCAAATCTTTTAGAAAGAAATCATTTGCGGATATCTATTCTTTACAAAAGAAAAATGGAAAAACTGGAAAGAAGTTATTAATCGAAGTTTGGTGATAACTGGAACTGTAGATGTCTCGCGATAAAGGAATTTTCCCGCGAGGTTCCCTGTCCCTACGTCGAGGTTCCCGCTTCGAAAGTCGACTGTACTCGATTTTGCGAGCGTGCGAATCGACAAATCGAATTTTCGATGTTTGTTCGTTGAGGCTGCCTGCCTCAAGCATCGTACAGAAATTCCCTTGATACGACTTGCCTCTCCAAGCCAACTCTCGCGTTCTCTCTCTCTCTCTCTCTCTCTCTCTATCTTTATTTTTCTTTTCCTCTTTCTCGTTGTACGCGTATAGATAAACGTATTTCTCGACGTACGAACGATAACGTGAGAAAGAGAACGCGATTCGATTGAATTTATAAAACGAAAAGATCAAAAATTCCCTATCGCTTCTATACAAACGATATTTTTATTAATAAAAAAGAAGAAGCAAAAAAAACAGAAAATCCGTATTGAATTTATCGGAAAATCGAATAATCCATATATTCTATACGTAGTTATGATAGAATTCTATTTTATAATAAATAATATATATATGAAATATTTTTCAGAGAAATTATATACTTGTGTTATTTAGGTATGTATATATTATATCATTTTAAATGTATTATTAAACTTCGAGGAAAGGGGGGAATAGAATCATTAAGGAAAATCATGGCAAAGCGTTTTATTGTTTGATCGATAATCCCATGGGACTCGGTTAATTCGACTTGGAAGTCGTCGAAGGTGAATGTGAGTTATCTCGCACCTCGGCGACTTATCCACAGACGGGATCGATATCGGTTCTTCGATATCGACCTGCTCTACGTGTACTTCGAGACTGCACCCATGAGGCATTGGTTCGGTCACGCCCTCAGAAGTTAAAGTACCTCCAAACAAACCAGAAATGATTGAACTTTTCTCTAACTTTTCTACCATATTTGTTTCGATGCTATGGGTGATGATTTCTTTTTTTTTTTTCGGATTCTCGGTAAACGAACAGACCGAACAATTAGAAGAAACAACAAGAAACGTAGCAGAAAAAGAAACAAGAATACTTTTAATGTAATCTGACGTTAACGAACAATAGAACAATTTTTTAAAAGTCACTTGTTAATGAATCGACTAATTTCAATATTAAAAATGAATAATTGTTTCCCAGGAAACACGTCAATAGAATCAAATTGTCCTAACGATTTTTATTCATTGCAATCGGAGATCTGTTCGAACGTAATGATTAGAGTATCATTTTTCTATTTCTCCCGCACAATCAACGTCAAGTTCAACGAACCAATATTTAATCACCTGAGAAATGCTACCACCTTGACGCTCAATATCCTGGAAATCAATAATTCAGACATCTTTCAAGTTATCGTTACTTTCTCGCGTCAACTCGACGAATCAGTTGAGTCATGCTTTTTAACCATCGATCTTAAAGATCAACAACTTTCTTGGAGTTCACACAATCTATTTAAGAAATGAATCAGACGATCAATCATGGGATCGAAGTATCATCTTCATGCGTAATAATAACATTTGAAAAACCAACCAAACGATTTATCTATCTCGTAATCTCGCTTAGAATACTAACGAGCAAAAGAAAATAATCCAATGAAAACGAAGATACCACCACACCAGGATATCGAATTTTTCTTAACGTTCATATACCACCCCCCACTCGGTTGACTTTCCTTTCTTATTTCGTTCTTTTTAAAAAGGGATTTTCAGGGAGCTATTAAAAGTCAAGGCGACCAACCACCTTCCACTAGGAAGGTTTTCGCACGTGACAAGCATTTATCCGTTCACTTTTTCGTCAACTAAGGCCAATTTCCCAAAGTCCACGAGGCATTAATCATGAAAGCGTTGGAACTAATAACCCAACGGTGTCATTGTATCGAAGAAAGACAGAAGAAAAACTAAGGGATGAGACGAAAGGGGGATAACCAAGAAGGAGAAGAAAAAAAAGAAGAAGAAGAAGAAAAGAAATAGAAAAGAAGAAGCATGGGTCACGTCTGGGAAATGCCAAAGGAATTTACTGGACGGTTCCATGCCCGTATCGTTCTTCTAGTCGTGTTAATCAAAAAGTCTCATAAAGCCACGATGAACGGCCATGTTCGCAATGTTTTACGATGCCGTTGCAACGACTAACCTAACGAAATTTCTTTCGCCGAACTTTATATACCTATATATTTATATATAATACTTATACGTGGCGTTTGTTTCCATCGTTATTAATCGATTTATTTCACTCGGAACTTCGAATTAATACGTATCTCTACAGGTGACGTATTAAATTTTTATGAACAATTTACCGAGTGTCTTCTTAGAATGATATTATTTATAGTACACAGTAAAAGGAAAAAATGTATAATTCAACGAGTATATAGATGCTATCAAATTAATTTCACGTTTTAATCCTATGCGCGTAAATAACAGGATTATGCGGAGATTAATTAAACAAATAAAACAAAACAAAACAAAAAGTCTAGAAAAGGGGAAACGCTTTGTGGTAAGGTGTCTTATTCTCAAACAAGACGAGTCTTGAAACATCGATGACCCTTTTGAAGTCAATGAGCGCATCGAGCGCATCGTATTATACTGAAGAATCAGATTTCAGCCGCATTTGCACACACACGCACACACACATATGCTTAGACCTCACAGATGCATGCTGGGAACACACGTCGTCTCGATTATTCCGCCTCGTTTTCGAAATCTTTTCGATATCGTCTTGGGTAAATTCGATTTGCTTAGAAGAAATTGGAGAAGGATCTTTCGAACTCTATCACATTTCATAAATAAAATTTATGCATAAAAAAGTAAGGATAACCAATATCAATGATTCAACTTATTTACGCTCCGATTCATTTTCTTAATTAATACTTTATTAGAACTGTGCAGATATAATATTGTAATTTTATTCAACGAATTAATAGAGATACTTGTTAATGTTTAAATAAACCGACGTTATCCGAGTAATAGATTTTTCACGCATGAAAGAATAAACGATTAGCCGGTTGAGGTATCGTATCGGTAACGGAATTATACGTAAAGCCGTTCTCGAGTCTGTCCCTTTTTTTACTTTCTTTCCTTTAGTTTCTTTTTTTTTCTTCTTCTTCTTCCTCTGCATTGGACAATTTTATAAGCCGCACGAGGTGGCACTCCTCGAATCGTCGTAGAACCCAACGACGGCGCAACGAGATTCGTGATTCAAATGCGGAAGAATACATCTCGAGAAAGTGCGCGCTCGCGTAAAAGGGAAAAAGAGAGAGAAAGAATATGCGAGTATAGTACACACATTGGCGCTTAGCTGAATCAATCCGATCGTAAATAACACACTCCACTCGTAAAGCCATCCGTACTGGTCAGTAAAATCTCTCTACCATTTCTTTCTCTCTCTCTATCGCTTTCTGCGAACCTTTTTAAGTACATTTTAGACTGATAAATGTGCCGGTCGATCGATGTAAATAAAAAGCAATAAAACGATAAATTACGAACAAGCCGCTCTTTAATGTCGACGCTGTTTCATACTTCGCGATAACGTTACCGTTCGAAAAGTCAGAAGCATTAGCCTCT